GAGGGGGACGGGGGCGCTCGGGGGTCCCGCCTGAGAGGGGGACGGGGGCGCTCGGGGGTCCCGCCTGAGAGGGGGACGGGGGCGCTCGGGGGTCCAGCTGGTCCCGGCTGAGGACCGCGGGGGCTCTCGGGGGTCCCGGCTGACGGGTGCGCAGAGGTCCCTGCCGAGGGCACCCGTGCCAGCAGCGGTTCCCGCTCTCTGCTCGCTGAGCTCCTGGACTTCAGCAGGGATCTTAATTAGCGCTGCGTCCTCCACCTGGTTTTGCAAAATTGTGCTCAAAAAGCGTGTCAGAAATCGTCCCCGCCCAGCCGTCAGGGAGGAAGGCGAATCGTGTTCTCACACAGACGCTGTTTCTCTTACATTCTATAGGTCAGTTACAATCAGGTCAAGAAAACATTAAGAATGACTGTAATCTAAACTTGATTCCTCACCTGTAACGTGGGGTTGACCAGAAGACGTCTTCCATCCCTGATCTCACGGTGCCTCTGTGCTTGGATGTGTTTGGTGAGAGGAGTGTGCTTTATTATCCTCACGCTGGACCACTACGTAGGAGCAATACTTGGAACAACAACAAGGCTTTCCTCACGAGGATGTTCATAGCCTGAAACTCTTTCCCTAGCGATGCCTGCATGTTTACAACTTATCAAAATTCCTGGGATGGGTGAAAGCAGTGCTTAGAGGGAAATTTATAGCACTGAATTCATATATTCGAAAATAAGAAAGATCTAAAATTAGTCATCTAGGGCCGGCCCCGTGGCTTAGTGGTTAAGTGAGCGCGCTCCACTGCTGGTGACCCGGGTTCGGATCCCGGGCTCGCACCGACGCGCTGCTTCTCCGGCCATGCTGAGGCCGCGTCCCACATACAGCAACTAGAAGGATGTGCAACTGTGACACACAACTATCTACTGGGGCTTTGGGGGGAAAAAATAAATAAATAAAATCTTAAAAAAAAAAAATAAAATTAGTCATCTAAGTTTCCATCTTAGGAAACTAGAAAAAGAAGAGAAAACTAAATCCAAAGTAAGCAGAAGAAAATATATTATAAAAATTAGAGGAGTATCAGTGAAATTGAAAACAGGAACTCAATAGAGAAAAATCAACAAAACCAAAAGCTGGTTCTGTGAAAAGATCAATAAAATCAATAAGCTTCTAGCCAGGCTAAGAAAAGAATAGGGAAGACACAAATTACTAATGTCAGAAATGAAATTGGGGATGTCACTACAGATTCCATGGACATTAAAGACAATAAAGAAATATTATGAACAACTCTATGCCCACATATTTGATAACCTAAATGAAATGGACCGATTCCTTGAAAGACACAGTCTGTCAAAACTCACTTAAGAAAGAGACAATTTGAATAGGCCTATATCTATTAAAGAAATTGAATCACTAATAACCTTCCAAAATAGAAAGCAACAGGCCCAGACGGTTCACTGGTAAATTCTAACAAACATTTAAGGAAGAAACTATACCAATTTTCTACAGTCTCTTTTAGAATATAGAAACAGAGGATACTTCCTAACTCACTCGGAGGCCAGCATTACCCTAATACCAAAACCAAAGACATCACAAAAGAAAATGACACACTAATATCTTTCATGAATATAGATGCAAAACTCCTCAACAAAATAGCAAATGAAATCCAAAAATTTTTTTAAAAATCATACATCATAAGCAAGTGGAGTTTCTCCCAGGTGTACAAGGCTGATTCAACATTCAAAAATCAACTAATTTAATCCATCATATCAACAGGCTAAAGAAAAATCACACGATCATATCAATAGATGCAGAAAAAGCATTTAACGTCCAACACCTATTCATGATAAAAACTCTCAGCAAACTAGGAATAGAGAGGAACTTCCTCAACTTAATAAAAAAAATCTACAAAAAACCTACAGCTAACATCATACTTAATGGTGAGAAACTCAAAGCTTTCCCACTAAGATCAGGAACAAGGCAAGGATGTCCCCTCTCACTACTACTTTTCAACATCCTACTGGATGTCCTGGCTAATGCAGTAAGACAAGAAAAGGAAATAAAAGGTTGGGAAGGAAGAAATAAAACTCTTTGTTCAAGATGACATGATCGTCTAATTAGAAAATCCTGAAAATTATTGTGGTACATCCAAACAATGGAATATTATTCAGTGCTGAAAAGAAACGAGCTATCAAGCCAGCCCTGATGGCCTAGAGGGTAAGTTTGGCACACTCCATGTTGGCAGCCCAGGTTCGATTCCAGGCCCAGAACCACACCACTCATCTGTCAGTAGCCATGCTGTGGCAGCTCACATAGAAGAACCAGAAGAACTTACAACTATACACAATTATACACTGGGGCTTTGAGGGGGAAAAAGGAAGAAAAAAGGAGGAAGATTGGCAACAGATGTTAGCTTAGGGTGAATCTTCCCCTCCAAAAAAAAAAAAAATAAATAAATGAGCTATCTTTTCAAGCCATGAAAAGGCATGGAGGAAACTTAAATGCATATTACTAATGAAATAAGCCAATCTGAAAAGGCTAAATACTAAGATTCCAACTATGAGACATTATGGAAAAGGCAAAACTGGAGACAGTTAAAAGATCAGTGGTTGCCAGGGATTAAGGGGGAGGGAGGAATGAATGGGATGAGCACAGAGGATTTTTAGGGCAGTGAAACGATTTTGTATGATACTATAATGGTGGGTACGTATTATTACACATTTGTATAGACCATAGGATATACAACACCAGAATGAACCCTAATGTAAACTATGGACCTCAGGTGTGTCTTAGTCAGCTCAGGCTGCTATAACAAAATACCATAGACTGGATGGCTTAGACAACAGACATTTATTTCTCATAGTTCTGGAGGCTGGGAAGTCCAAGATCAAGGTGCTGGCAAATTTGGTTCTTGGTGAGGGCCCTCTTCCTGGCTTACAGGTGGTGGGCTGCCTTCTCATTGCATCCTCACATGGCAGGGTGAGAGAGAGCTCTGGTCTCTTCCTCTTCTTATAAGGACACTAATCCCATCATGGGGTCCCCACCCTCATGACCTCATCTAAAGCTAATTACCTCTCAAATATCCCACCTCTAAATACCACCACCTTGAGGATTATGGTTTCAACATAAAAATTTGGGGGGAACACATTCAGTCCATAACAGGGTGATAAAAAAAATGTTCTTGCTGTACCCACATGCTGGACTGTATGGTAACTTCATCAAACTGGAAATTCCAATAGAATCACATGAATACAATGGAAAAACAGGCACCAAGAAAAGCTGGGCAGACGGCATTATTTGTTTCTTAAAATTGCTTCTTTTCCTTCAAAGTGTTCAGAATCAGAATTTTAATTTGTCAGTATGTAGTATCCTGAAAATTATTCTACCTTAATGAGTTATTTTATTATTTCTCTCTCATACACACATACATATAAATAATGTATTGGTGAAAACATCACTTTGTGCCTAGGCTGGCAGTATGAAGTCCTAAAGAATATTTTTAAGCTTCTAGCACAAGGCTAATATTTTTTTTAAAAGGTGTTTGTGCAAAGACACAATTTGGAAAAAATGTACCCTAATATTGATATGATATTTACTATATCATAATAAAAATGATAATACCTCAAAAGAATCCTTCTTAACAACTGGAAGAATATCCTGAGAGACATAATAAAGATGACCAGAAATTCTCTTTCCTTGAGAAAACCTATTTTGTGAACCACCCGGAAAAACCATCAACCTATCTAGAGTCACCTTTCAAACAGAGAGCCAGTAAGGGAGCGTTCAGAGATAAAATTATGAGGCTATCGTCATTTTGGGCTCCTGTGGAGGTCAAGAACACAAAAGTTGAGAGCAAACCATCAGCTGGTGGGAAGTGAGGAATGAATACTGCTTGGCTATGAAACTTCAGAACTGGCTTTGCCAGCTCCCAGACTTGCTGTGTCTCCTGATAGCAGGGAAGCCCTCGTTTAACTGGAAATTGAAGGTGAAGATCAGAATTCCCTGCCACTCCTACTGTGGAGCTACCTCAGGACATATAACTTGTTGAAGCATCACAGTATATTAAGTCAAATAAGAACAGCATCAGTTTTGTGCACCATAGATAATATATATAGATTTCCATTCTCTTGAAGCCTCAACGAGAGTGTGTATTTTGAGAGAGTAATCCAACTTTTAATGTTCTAAGTAAATCATTTAAAAACAGAAGTGCTTTTCTAACAGGCTAGAGAAGGCATTCACATAATCCAGAAGCCATTTTAAAAAGTGTTCATTCCACTCAATGTCATCTATCACTATCCAACAGGTTTTGCTATTTTTCCCTTAAACATAAAATGCTGATACTGAAGTTCATAATAATAAAATAATTACTTCTAAGATGTATATTGCCTGTGAGATTCATTTCCTAAATCTGTTATTCAGCCTAAAAGTAGTAAGAAAAAATGAAAACTTACACTGAAATATTGTTTGCACAATCAACTCTAATGACTGGTTCACACTAACAAAACTAGGAAAATAGTAAATCTATATAGTTTGTATAATAAATAAAATGTAAACAAAATATTTTAATATATAAATAGAAGCTTTACACATCCAAACTACAGTACATATATATAAAATGTATCTCTAAAATTTAATGAGATACTACAAACTACCATAATTTTCATTATAAATTATACATATATTTCAATATAGAAATATATTTTCTCTAACATTTTTTTTTTTTTTTAATGTTTTTATTTATTCAGTTTTTCCCCCCAAAGCCCCAGTAGATAGCTGTATGTCATAGGTTCACATCCTTCTAGTTGCTGTACGTGGGACTCGGCCTCACGTTGGACGGAGAAGTGGTGCCTCGGGGCGCGCCCAGGATCCAAACCCGGGCCGCCAGCATCAGAGCGCGCGCACTTAACCGCTAAGCCATGGAGCCGGCCCGTCTAACATTTTAAATTTCAGAGATAACTTGCATGGTGGCATTGTGGAGAGTAACTTTATATAATGAGCTTTTTAGTAATTCATTTTATTAGTAATTCAGTGGAAGGGTTGACTGATAATATGAACAATTTCTTAATTATGGCAAAAGTACTTTTTAAGAAATGAAGATAAATATAGTGTTCCATTTCTATATAGGCAGTTAATACTGAAAATAAAGGGGAAGATTTTCAATATCCTGGGTCTTGAGCACCAACTCTGTAGAATGGTGTGGGCTAAACTGAGGGGTTTCTATAAACGCAAATTACTAGGTTACCATCCCATTTCACTATTTATGGAAATTACTTCAGAAGTACTCTTCAAAGGCAAAATGTATTTTAATGTGTCCCAAAAGTTAATGAATGTACTGCTTCTCAATATTTCAAAGTCTATATGAAATAAACCTCCACTTTAGACACTTTAAAATATTGCCTTTATGTATATATATAATTGGACAAACTAATAATTTAAGGGTAATGAAAAGACAATTGAAGACATTTATTCCCCTACTCAAAGATGAGCAACAGTTATGATGATGCTGAAGAACACTTGACTAGGTGAGTGCTGGAAGGGTAGGAGTTCAATATTTAATACCAGACCAGTGTTTGCCTTTTTTATAATTTTGGCCCGCTGTATTAGTTATTTAAGGAGAAGCTATTTAAATAACTGAGTTATTTAATGAGAAGCTTTAGATAATTTTAAAGTGACTTGAGACAATCTATTCTTTCTGAAAGTTGATATGAGGTGTTTTTATCCATCTACCATTATGTTGGGGGATTTCTAAAGTCCTTGGATAATTTCTTATTCTCCTCAAATTTGTGTAATCTTTCCAGTAAAGAGTACAAAGTAAGTTGAAATCTCTTACAATTGTACCTACTTTCAGAAAGTATATTTTTGCTGCAGTTTATAAGAAAATTATTTTACAAATATAAACATAAATCAATCTGCCATTAACATCTTATTCCCATATATTCTACACCATATAATCACTTTAACATAGCATTTTTGTATCAAATTTTATCTTCTAAATAAAACATCCAATTTGGGGGGTAAATATACCATCTGATTAAAATGTTTAAACATTAAATATATAGGGTATATAACAACTTAATTGCTACTGATCTGCTGATAACTTGTTTTCCGTTTCTTCTTTTTGGGCTCTTTGTTCCTCTCGGTGATTAGCTGCAGTCCAAAATGTTATTTTTTTGAGTACTTGTTGCAGAAGTTTAGGAGGTAATAAAGATATCTGACTTTCTAAAATTATAGCATTTTTACCAATGCAGTCAAGGCATGACCTGTAAACAAAACATAACAGAATTATTAGTTTTTGAACCTGAAGTTATATTTATAGGTAATTATTCTTAAAAACAAAAATCATTATGAAAATTTTACATAATTATGTACTTCCTTTGGATTGTCTGGAACATGAAAGGATAACTGTTCTTTCCAGAGCATCACAGTAATTGTATATTTTGATAGCATAGGGACTGTATCTGACCAAAATCCAATGGAAACAGAAATTACAACTTACCATGAATAATGTTCTTTAAGTAAAAAGGATGCAGACTTAATTTCAAGGCAGATTAGTCTGTAGCAGACCCCTTTTCACACATCCTTCCAGCGCAATAACCATTTACTCTTCTCTGAGAACTGTCTGTTTCTTCTGCCACCCCAAGATGAAGCATCTGACATCTACTTTTATTCCACGTGACCCAGTCCTCCCATACCCCTTCTATAAATGACTGCACGGGGTTGCACCCTTGACTTACGCCGACCCCGAGAGAGCAGGTCTGAAGAGAGGAAGGGAGCATTTCTTAAAAACAAAGAGCCAACAAGAGACCACCTAAGTTTCTCCCCTTCTCGGGGCCGGGGTGTTCATTTTTCCCCTTTGTCCTTCCAAATACAATTCCATTTTTATCTTAAGCTACTTTGAAGAGGGTTTTGTACTTTAAAGCCAAAAGAAACTTTATTAAGAACTATCAAAAAAGCATCTCTTTCAAGTGATAAACTTTAATTCAAAAAGGTAAGTAAATCTTTTTTTAAAGTTTTAAAAATAGATTCATTCGATTCTGCTGTGGTTAACCTCAGTTGTCATTTTTACAAGGGTTTACACTCTAGCGATTTATATCTTCCTCCGTACTTTCACGAAGCCTTTTCTCTCTACTCTGCAAAAACTCTAAATAAGAAGTAAGAGTGAAAATGTTCCACGTATATACAGAAGAAGTACAAGAAAATGAAATTAATCTTATATCTGGTGTAAATTAACTCTGCTGCCGTGGGGACACAATAGCTCCTGGGCCCCTTCGACAATGGGGGAAGGGAAGAGTCACATGAGGAAATGGACTCCATCATTACCATTCATTCACTGACACAACAAATATTTATTAGTGTGCACTCCATACTAGGGACTGTCTTAGGAGTAGGAAACCCCACATTGAGAAAAACTCTATTTCAGCCTTTAAGGAGATTACAATTTAGTGAAGAAGATAAACAATTAACAATAAAGCTTTATAAATGTTGTGAGTGGGATAAAATGAAATTCCCATGACAGGGTTCTATGGGAATCAGGTAGGAAGAATAACCAAGACAACCTTAGCAAACCAGGGGAAACTTTCCAGATGGGAGGTCCAAGCTGAGACCTTGAGAGTCTCAACAAATTAAACAAACTAAGGCATTCCAGACAGAGGAGCCACACCTGCAAAGCCCTGGAGATAAGTAAGATTCATTACAGAAACTGCAATTGAGTGGTTCAAATATAGCTGGAGGGCAGAGTGGGAGAGTGGGCATGGCACGAGGGGAGGCAGAGGGAAGTGGTGGCCCTGGACACCATGGTAAGGCATCTGCAGTTCGTCTAAGGGCAGAGGGGGCCACTGAAGAGTCATCATGATACAAAATGTGCATATGCTCTGATCCATTAATATCCCTTCTAGGAATTTCTCCTGAGGAGACATGCACATTTTCCAAAGGAATATACAAGAATATTACACATGTAATTTTTATAATAGTCAAAAATTGTAGATATTCCAAATATATATCAATAGACTAGCAAATAAATTGTACTTCTGTGAAATAGAACACTATATAGTCATTACAAACATAAATATATACCTATGACACTGGATGATTATATATTTACATGAAAGATATCCATAATATAAGTTTTAAAAGCAGATTATAAAGCAGCATGCATAATTTGACCCTTTATACACACACATGCATATATGTATACTGCTTTCACTAAGACCAATGTCTTCTTAGCATGGTTAAATCCACAATGTTTTTCATTTTAAAGTCTAGAAGGATAGACACCAAACTTAACAATGATCATCATAGGTGATGGTTCATAGGTGATTTTTTTTTTTACCATATACTTTTCATATTGTATGAATTTTCTTGGTAAGTACACCTTATTTTTTATCAGAATAAATAATAGAGCTATTTCTTTAAAATATATATCTCTCTCTCTCTCCAAAAGTATGATGGGCATGATCCCACAAGTACATTAGATCATATATATTCTTTGAGATGAGGAACCGCATCCTATTCATCTTTGTTTTTTCCCAGTTATCTCAACACAGTAAATGCTGAATGCCTCTGACTTCACATTTTTTTTTTTTTTTAAGATTTTTATTTATTTTTTGCCCCCAAAGCCCCAGTACATAGTTGTCTGTCACAGCTGTACATGCTTCCAGTTGCTGTATGTGGGACTCGGCCTCAGGCTGGACAGAGAAGTGGTGCCCTGATGCACACCCGGGATCCGAACCCGGGCCGCCAGCATCGCAGCGCGCGCACTTAACCACCAAGCCACAGGGCCGGCCCTGACTTCACATTTAAAATAAATTGATCACACTGGCTACATGGTGGACCACTGGCTGTGGCGAACATGCTTCATGCAGTAAATACTACTAAATTCCTGCTATGTTCAAGTTTTGATTATGAAAATATGCTCAGAATCAAAAGGGCACGTGCTCGTTCTCAGCAGCCCTGTACTAAGTACCAAGGGCGACACGGTCGCTCTTCGTCCTGGCCTCAAACACAAGCCCATCCAGTCTGTCCTTCCGCTTTCTCCCATCTCTACACTGGTTCATCTACCCCATCGCTGTTTAGCTTCCTTTCCGAACCTCTTCTGTGTGCTCTTTGGAACACCAGCTGTGAATACAAACACCTCTGCTCCCTCTGACTTTCTGTCTTTGCTTTAACGGAAATCTACAGAAAACTGCTTTGTGTGCAGTCTTCTTGAGAAACGAGTATGAATTGCCCCTCATCTCCGTTTTCACAGTCAAGGAGCCAATGTCAGTCTTCTCCTCGCCCCTCAAGGCTGCTTCCAGGCTGCTGTCAGGTCAGCTTCAGGTGCTGCCATCCATTAACCTCCTGCTCATTCTCCCCGGCCACTGAGGACCTTGGCTCACCACAGGCTCCTCTCTTGATCGAACTTAGCATCTGTGTGCAAATCCCTTTTCCTCTTTATGACTTCACTCAGGACAGTTCCTCCTCTGAAATCTGAAACTTCCATACCCTCCTCCTGGACCAGAAGAAGACCCCTCCAGTTTTAATTGTCTTTCCTATCCAGCTTAGTCCTTATGCACGTCCTTCTCTTACCAGCGACTTGAATCCCGTTCTCCACGGTCCCTCTGTTATACCCCCCTGACTAAACTCCAACCATGGGTAAATTCAGCCAACCATCTCCTTTGCGCATCTGCAACCTGGCTGCTGAGTGCTGCGAGAGAGAACCATGTTTCTACAGCCCTGGCCCTCTGAAGATTGATTCTACTCTCTCGGCTGAGCCCTCCCGAGCACCCAGCACTTCCATGTTACACGTCCCTTGCCAGCATCTTCTCACAGTCGCCTCAGCAGCTATCTCAAATCTTCACCACTCTTCTTAAGTTCATATCCTCACCTCTCTGCTTTCCTATCAGATATCTCACTATCAGCCAAACCTTTCTCAGTACCCTGCCCCCAACCAACAAATTCATGTCTTTATAGCCATACTTCCTTCCTTCCCCACTATTTTAAAAGAAAAGTGGGCCGGCCCTGTGGCACAAGCGGTTAAGTGCGCACACTCCGCTGCGGCAGCCCAGGTTTCGCCGGGTCAGATCCCGGGTGCGCACCAACGCACTGCTTGGCAAGCCATGCTGTGGCGGAGTCCCATGTAAAGTGGAGGAAGATGGGCACGGGTGTTAGCCCAGGGCCGGTCTTCCTCAGCAAAAAAGGAGGAGAATTGGCAGATGTTAGCACAGGGCTGATCTCCTCACACACACAAAAAAAGAAAAGTGTTCTTCCCCCAGTCAAGGGTTAATTCAATTACCTGCTTGCTAAAATCCACTTCCTCAAGACCCTGCTCCACCAACTTTTCCCTCATTTCTTGTGTTTCCAACAACTTACTCCCCACTGGTTTCTTCCCCTCAGCACATAAACAAATATGCTCAGTCCTTCCTTGGTCTTGGTAATTGTCCCCAGAAGTCATCCTGGCTTCCACCATCACCTTAACCAACAACTTCCTAGTACTGCCAAACTCCTCGGCATTTTCAACCCAGATATTCTATGACCTACTTATAGTAATAGTCTCTCCATCTTCTGTTCCCTCCTCCCTTGGTTTCTTGCTCCCATTCTCTCCTGGTTCAGTTTTAACTTCTCTGGTCACTCTCTTGTGTCTTCTTTTCCTCTACCTACTCCTCGGATGTTATGAGTTCTTAATGCTCAGTTGTTGGCTTCATCCTTACTCTTGAAACTCTTAGAGCTAACCTACACCCATTCGTACCCCAGTGATTCTTAAATCTTTTATGTCTAGCCGGGACCTCTCTCTATACACGGAACTATTTAATGGATAGCTCCACTAGAGGTCCCATAAGTCCTTCAAGCTCAATATGTCCAAAACCAAATTTATCATTTCTACCCATCCCACCTTCAAACCCACTGCCTTCTCCATAGTCCCTCTATCACTAATTTTTCCCTCTTCTTTCCCTTGGCATCCATTCAACTACCAAGTCCATTCTATCTCCTGAATATCTCTGTCTCCCTCCCTTCTCCAGCTCCTCTGCCACTGTCTAGATCAGACCCTCACTTTGTGCCTGACCACAGGAATAGTCTCTACCAATTTTCCTAACCCACTCACATCTCCCTCCAATCTCTCATCCACACTGTTGCCAGAGGAATATTCTAACTTGTAATATGATCATCTTATTCCTCTGCTCCAAATTTTTCAATGCTTCCTAATCTCCCACAAGATAATGTAAACACCTCTGCATGAGAGACAAAGGTGCTAGATGACATATGGTTTCTGATTTCTTGTCCAACCTCATTTCTTACAACTCCCTACTCATGCTTACATCCCAGGAATACTCAAGAATTCACAATTCCCAGAACACACCAGGCTCTTATATGTATATCTTGCACTAACACCTTTGCACTGCTTGTTCATAGCAAATCCTTGTCTCAAATTCTTTTTCCTCTGCAAAGACTTCCCTATCCTTTGCCACCTCAACTACGTGGACAGAGGGCCTTCTTCTGTAGTATTCTCATGCACTTTGTATATGTTCCTCTTAAAGCAATTTTATTTTTCTATTATAGTTTTTTGAAAGCCTGCCTTCTATATTTTTGGCAATTTAAGGGAAGGTCATGACTTTTCATTTCATAGCACACACTGCCTTCCTATGCGAGGCACTCAAATATTATATTTATTGATCCCTGCATATAAGGAACTTGCAATCTACTTGGGGAAAGTAGTATGTTCACAGTGCAAGTCAAGTAATAATACAAGCCAGTATAAATCATTACAGCAGCTATTTCCAAACTTTGCCTGCACATTGGAACTACTTTGGGATCTTTCAAAAATTCCCAAAATCCAGGTCACACCCAGACCAATTAAATCACGATCTGTGGGGGTGGAACACAGGCATCAACATATTTTGAAGTTCCCCATGAGATTCTCATGCACAGACCAGTTTGGGAACCACTGCACTAACAGAAGGAGCAGCTAAGACAGACCTCAGGAAGGTCCAGTCTGAGCTGGCACAGAGGTGTTGAAGGGATTCCAGCTGTCAAAGCTCTGGAAGTTACAGTGTCCTCCTTGACATACAGCATGTCATCTTCTCTCTCGCCCTCTCTCCCTCCCCTCACCTGCCTTCACTCGTTATTCATGCTGCATAAAGTACCCACACTTGTTCACTAGGCAACTTCTACTTCACTCAAATCCCTCCTCCTGACTCCCACAGGCAGAAACAGGGGCTTCCTCCACAACCCCCTCTAAAGTTCATATACACTCCTTTTAAAGTAAGAGTGAGTATATGAGCTCAAACACTATAAGTCACACCACCAATTTAATGACAGAGTTGAAGTTTGAGGTTAAAAGAAAGAAATTCTACTAAATTAAATGCATGTGTCTATTATTAGACATACTCTGATTTCCGAAAAGTAAAGATATGAAAAAGTCAGGCCTAGAATCAAGGAAATACAGTATGTTAATATTCCCATATGAACTAAATGTAATTTTACAAACAAAACAAAAATGTGACTGTACTGTGTAATTTAATTTTTAAAAATCCCCATGGTGTGTGGGTCACTATTACAAATTTGATTACATTCTCAGGAAGATGTAAACATTTCTTAAATTCAAGTCATAAACTACCTGAGAAATATAATAATGCTTCCCAAAAGGGGAAGAAGAAAAAATTATCACACATTAATAACATTTATATTTTAAAGTAATGAATTTGCTTACCTGAGTAATGAATAAGGCTGTGTTTGAAAGATCAATAAATCATTACAGTGACCCTGATCAACATAAAAAAGGAGTTATCAAGATTTTTCATAAAAATAACAATACATTAATAATTGAATATTTTTATTTTATAAATGTAAAAGAAATTATGTAAAGCAGCAAATAAATCTCTCTAGCTATTGACACACACACACATACAAGCACACACACACACACACACACCTGCTACCCACACAAACTTTGGACATGTGGTTACCATTTTTTCAGTGACCAAATTTTTACCAAACCATAGTCTATATAATTACAAATTTAAAAATCAGAAACATTTTTTTCTCTTAGAACAGTGAGTTCAAAATGAGAATAGTAGTGGTTTTCAAGCTTTTTCGTTTTTTAAGCAGCACTTTTTTCCTACAAATGACTCTTATTTTAAAATTTCCTCTCTATCTTGTCTTCCTTTTCCAGGTGGTGGATTTCCTGGAAATTTTTAATTTGAAAATCACAGATCCAGAAGATTTTTTGAATAATGACTCTCTCATCTAAAAGTTAATGTGAAAGAGTAAACAGAAAATTTCTCTCATCCTTTCAAATAGGTCTTCAGAATTTCATAATTTATGATCACGATTTTAATCAGAATTCCCATTTTAATGATAAACTTTGTATCCTAATTAAATATTTCTAGTGCCAAGAAAAAGAAGACAAACCACAAAATCTGCTTTTCAATTAAATGCAAAGTTGTGGTTTTAATCTTTTACTGAAGCACTGAATTCTAAGAAAGTTCTAAAACTTTCAATATAAATAACATTTAAATTGGAGGCCTCAAAACTTTAAAATAAACCAAATTCCCTGGAGAGAAGCCCCCTTATTTCAGGGTTCACCTCTGTAGGGGCAACTCTAGAGATAACTACGCTGACGAGACAGAAGTAGGGGAGCCGGGACCCCTTGGTTGGGCCCTGGCCCCTAAGGCCCCACCCCTGCCGGCTCAGAGTCCTGCTCTTCCCAAGTGTCCTATGCAAACCAGAGCAGCCCATCCTGAACTCCTGTCTCATCACATACGGAGTATGTGTCACCATCCTGCTCTGAATGTTCCACGATGCTAGGAGTGAAAGGACAATCCACTCCAAATGCTCCTCAGTTATTCCCTTGACTTTAGTTTTATCAGATTTTAAAACTGGAATGCTTTAAACTCAAATGTAAAACAGGGGTGAAGCAGTGGCAAAAAGTACATAAAATAAAAATAAAATACACTCAAAACATTTCAAAGTAGTTTCTTCTTGAGGGGAGAAGCTAGTGTGGATGATGTTCTGGTTGTTAATTTAGGTAGCAAATTTCATAGGTACTTATTATTATACTTAGTAGTTTACATATACATTATATATACTCTTTTATGTATCAACTATTACTTACAAATATTTTAATTCAATAAAATTATAAACACCCATACTATGGGGAGGTTCAAAGAGAAAAGAAAAAGAAGAGTCACTCTTTAAAAGCTCTTCTTAATAATTTAACTAATCAAGTTAATAGACCTATTTTGTTTTGTAAACCCAAAATATCCTGAAATGCTTCATAAAACCCACTCATTCTAAAGATGAATCATACAACAGAGTAATATTTCATGCCCTTCCATAGTTTGCAATGTGGGAATATCAACAATCCTGTTGAATAACAATTTAGCTTGAATAACACAATTACTCAGAGGAAATATTTAGATATGAAATTTTCTTACTGTATCCAAGGAAAGTAAATCATCTTTGCTCCCACCAAATACCATTATTTCATTTTCTTTTCCCAAACAGGCTGTGTGCCATAACCTGTGATTGAAAATTATAAACAGAGTGAAATACTATCAAGGAAGAAACTGTACATCACATATAAATCTATTTTAAATTGCACACTCTAAAATTCAATCTATTTCAAAAGAGGCATGATTGAACTCAAACCTTTGGCACATCCTCAAAGAGGTTAAAGATTTCTCTAGAATCATTAGAGGATTAGATTCTAGAGTTCATTAAATCAAATCATTTCAAATAAGGAGATGCCTCCCAATAACTCTTTCCATTATATCCCTCAACCTTTTTCTAACCTCTTTATTTCATAGATATTATCATGAAATAAAATAATTTTAAAAAGGAACTGATCAGCCCATTGCAGAAATAGACACCTTTCCCAATTTTCTCATTACTATCCACCATGTTACTGTTCTCATCATTTTTGTCTCTTTTTTCCTGTTCTCTGCTCCCTATCACCTGACACCCAGTGTGGCATCTCTTGCATTTACACCGGCACACAGTTGTCACCCTGGAGACGGAACCACAACCTGTTCCTCACTTTCTGTCTCTCCTCTCTCCCAGCTCCGTATGGCTGTTAAGTCATGTTTTCCAAATATTGTTTTTAACCATGGACATTTCCTGAGCAGGAAGGATCTGTGCCATTTTTCTTGGCCTAATATTTATGATCAACAGCTATTTCTTTTTCCCATAAATCTTAATTCTTGCCTTTCCCCAAATGAACCCACTATTTCAGCCAAGTTCATTTATTTGTGTCCCCTGAGAAGGAAGCTTCTATCTATTTCTAGGCTTTTGTTCACCCTGTTTCTTAGGCTTAGAATGAGAAATCATTCTCTCAGGGTTTTAAAAGTGGCTCAAAATCCCCAGGAAGCGTTCCAAATACCACCCAAACTGGCTCTATCACCTCTCTGTTCAGCACCTTTCAACATTTACGTGCTCGTTCCATTATCTCCTAACTCACATTTGAAGATAAACTGCTCTACATACTACTTTAATGGCTTGATGTCTGTGTCTTCTAGCTCCCTACAAAGATTGTAAGGTCTTTAAGGTCAAACTTGCCACAACGGTGTGTTGGGACCAGCTGACTGTGCTCATCTCCATCCCACTCCACGTTCAGTGACGCCACGTTGGTAGCTTGAAATTGGGCCGTGGTGGAAACCAGCAAATGCTACAAATTAAGGCTTTTTGTTTTGTTTTTCCTGGAGAGCAATTGTTAACTGTTTACCAGCACATCCCTGGAAAACTTGGGTAATCTAATTTTATGTTCTCCTTAAAAGTGCCTAATGTTGGGGCCGGCTCCGTGGCTTGGCGGTTAGGTGCGCGCGCTCTGATGCTGGCGGCCCGGGTTCGGATCCCGGGCGCGCCCCGAGGCACCACTTCTCCGTCCAACGCGAGGCCGAGTCCCACGTACAGCAACTAGAAGGATGTGAACCTGTGACATGCAACTATCTACTGGGGCTTTGGGGGGAAAAAAATGAATAAATAAAATCTTTAAAAAAAAAAAAAGTGCCTAATGTAGTGTTCAGCAGCTAGTAAGTGCTCAAAAACTTTTGATTAACGAAAGCAAACACAAAATACCAGCATAATTTATCCAGTGATTAAATAAACAAATTATTTCATAAAGGAGTGAAGCATCTAATGTTCTTTTGGAAATGGTCTCATAGCTCATATTCATCTCCAACTTCACATTATTTACCAAAGATAATTTTATGGTTTTACAAAATTCAATATTTCCAGGGGCTCTAACTCTCAGAAAAAAAACACACATAAATTTCTCAATTTTAGAAGATAAATTAGGGTTCTACAAAATCATTGCTTTGACTCTGAGAGTACTTTGATTACTTTTCTTAACAGACCAAATGGCTGAAGCAACAGATGCCCCAAACCATTACATATTATCACTTATTTTATCACCACGTAACTTATTTTTAGTACATTAATCTTTTTTACTTAAGTTCCACAAGTACAAACAGTGGGATTATGCACAATTTGTTAAATCAAGTGGTTTCCTGGAACAATCATGACACGTTCAATGACAAATGCACTTGGGACCCAGGATAGACTGAGTCATTAGAGATTTTGTTTGGGAAATACTCTCCCCAATTCTCCAACTTGTGTGTTGGAACATAAATTGATATAAACCTTCAGCAACAGGCAGATTATGTTGTGGGGTTGGGGTATGGACTGGGCAAGGGAGATGGAACAAATGAATGCCCTCATATGTGGGAAGGAAGAGCTCCACTTCCTGGAGAGAAGGCCATGTGTCACCTTGGCAACACTCATGGGATCCAACAGTACCTAAGGCTCTATGTGTCAACACCTTATTGGACATCTTTTACAGATACACATGAAAGGGTCCTTGCTGACGGCCACCTACACAGTGATCAGATATGGCTGTATAGATGGCTTTTCAACCAAGCACAGTTTTAGCCAAGGTGAGACCCAGAGAACAGAGTGTTGTGTTCTAGAACAGTGGTTCTCAACCAGGGGCAATTTGGCCCCCAAGGGGACATTTGACAATACCTGGAGATATTTTTGATTGTCACAGCTCCAGGTGTAGGGGGGCAGTACTACTGGCACACAGTGGGTGAAGGCCAGCGATGCTGCTAAACATCCTGCAATGCACAGGACACCCTAACAACAAAGAATAATTTGGTCCGAAAAGCCAGTAGTGCCGAGGTTGAGAAACCTGCTGTAGAATTACACGACGAGAATTGGGCAGCTTACATTTCAAATTATAACTTGGCAAAGTTTGCACAAAATGCATTTATATGTTAAGTAAACTCTCACTTTCATAAAAAAATAGTACATATACACATACACATGTTCTCCTTACACTAAACTGTATCCCACCTGTTCCCCTCCTCACCTCGGACCTGAAGATAGATCTGCCTCTGTCTTATCTGCCTTAGAGAAACTCTGGCCTGGGCTTCGCAATCGAAGAACACTGGAAAGCCTTTCCTGCCTTGATTTTGGTGACATCTAGCTTGGAACCCGATGTTTTTTCTACAGACTGATAGTTTATATCCTCTCACAGCTGCTCTAAACTTATCACCTAAACATTCTGATAAAGCATATTATTTACATGACACATCAGCTGAATTCAAAGAAATGTCTTTACATAGCTCAAAGCTTACAGTGCTAACTAGTGTATTACGGACAACAGTTGTGCTGCTCTAATTACCTATGAAGGATTGAAATAAAGAGGAGGAATGATTTAAAAACTAAACATTTTACTATCACTCTGGTCTATAATTAATGCATTCATACAATCAAACAACTGGAAGAGAAAACAGAGCTTATCTAGCCCAGCTCCTTCACTTCACAGACGAAGAAGCTGACGCTTAGTTTCTTTAGGTGACTTTCCCAAAGCCCAATAGCTAAGCAGTAGCTGGACAGAGGCTAGAGCTCTGGGCTCCCAGCTCTTAAGATAAAACTCCTTAAATTACAAATATATTTCGAAGACCCAGAATTGCTAAAATAATACATTCCAATGAATTTTTATATATGAAAATATAAGAATCACAAATGTAATTATGATAAACTCTAAATGTAGTATGCATATTAATACAGATACACACACTGAGATATATATAAATATTTTCAGGCTTTTTCTCAAGTAAGTTACTTGACTGTCATTTATTAAATTTCTGAAATGCCTATCATTAAGTTGACTTCATACTAGTATAAATAATCTATAATTTAAAAATTCTGAAATACATGGCATGAAAAAGAATAAAATCTATTATTGGTTATAATGATTATAATGTGCTGAATTTGAATTTCCTACGAATATATCTTTATTATATTACTCAATCAAATTAGAAAAAAATAAGAATTACAATACTAATATAGTTTTCTTTGTAGTCTAATAATAGTATATTGTTTCTACAATTTTTACTTTATAATATACCACAAATAAGTAACATGTTTTCTTTTTCAAAAAATTCACATTAACACATACATCATACACTTAATAAAGAAAATAAATAATCTGTCATCTATTTGACCAACATGAAAGAAATTTCCGATTAAATTGCTCTAAACCTCTTCCAAAAACAAATACTACTAAAGCCAAGCCCATTCTTATCTACTTATTAAAAATATTAACATTACATGATGCTTTCAATTTCTTAGCATTTTCATATATATCAGGCAAGATTATACATTTACCTAAAGAAATATTTTCAAATATGCAAATATGAGTGGAAACAGAATAGATCATTTCTAACAATCAGATACAATTAAAATGATAATTAAATGATTTAGGTAACATCAAGCCTTTTTGAAAGATATCCTTCTGGATGATTTATGGTTTTAATGGCAAACACTATAAATTCAGTGCTATATTTTAATACTTTAAAAATTCTTAACTATATTACTATTTGTCAACTTCTGGGCTTACCTGGGTCTTGTTTTAGGTAAATGCATAAGTTGTTTCCAACAATTTGTCATGACATTATAAATCCAACCATCACCTGCAAGATTACGGCAGTTCAGAAGTTAAGATTCGGTCTTTGGGATAAAATTTTAATTTTTTTCCAAATTTATAATGCTACATTTATATGAATATTTTTAGTGTGTGTGCATATTTTATCATAAAAATTTTCAGACATATACAAAAGTAGAGTGGACGTGACAATGAGCCCTCACCTATCCCAGATTCAACAACGATCAAGAGTTTGCCACATGTGCTCCATCTCTCTTCTTGTTATTCTTGTTGCTGAATGATTCTAAAGCAAATCCCAGATCTCCTACATTTTCCCCATATACACTTCAGTAAGCATCACTAAAAAAATGGACATTTTTTACATAACCACAACACCATCATCACATAACCACAATGCCATCATCACAGTCAACAAAACTAAAAATAATGTCTTGGTATCATCTAATACCCATATGACCATATCTTAAGCTAAATCTGTAAGGGAGGAAACTGACTGGACCAAGAGTTAGAACACTGAGTTCCCCAGAGGTCAATGACCAAAAACAGCAAGAAGGAATTTAAAACACGAGAGCTCATGAAGATATGACATTAAACAACCCCTAGCAAAAGGAACAGAATGTTAGATTTTGATTAGATTCCAAATCTCTTCTAGCTGAAAACCCCACAAATTGGAGAAGCATAACAATCTGCAATAACTAATATGCCGTACAAGGAACTGCCGCTTCTCCCACCAGCCTCTGGAGTTTGTTGGCCATCAGACTGCCAGACGCACAGTTGCTGCTCAATAAATTTTTGTTGAAAAATCAGGGACTGGCCCCGTGGCTTAGCGGTTAAGTGCGCACGCTCCGCTACTGGTGGCCCGGGTTCGGATCCCGGGTGTGCACCGATGCACCGCTTCTCCGGCCATGCTGAGGCCGCATCCCACATACAGTAACTAGAAGGATGTGCAGCTATGACCTACAACTATCTACTGGGGCTTTGGGGGAAAAAAATAAATTAATTAAAAAAAAAAAAGAAAAAAATCAAATGGTTGTATCCAGATCTTACATAAAATTATATAAATGGTTTTAATGGTATATAAGGTTTTTTAATGAAAACATCTCTAGCCATAGAAAACTTCTGAGTCAAGAAAATACAAAACATCTAACATGTCAAACTAAGAAGTCAATGTTCTTGGTCATTTGCCCATCCTGAGGGCGCAATTCTACTGCTGAAAGAAAAACTGCATTACAAAACCCATAGCCATTGGGATCAGCAGCAACAGGACGTAAAAAATTTTAGCTAAGCATTTTCCTTTATACTTCTGGAACAAAAAGAGAAGCAACTGGCCTACCCACCTTCCATTTCCAAGCCTCCTGGGAAAGGCTACTCTTCTAATCCCCATTCCAGCCTGCTGTATAAGCATGTGGATCAAAAACAAGAACACAGAATCACAGAGTATTACAGTTGAAAGGGGCTTTAATTCAGCCAGGTTCAACCACCCTTCCTTTTCTCTATGCCCAGGGAACAGGAGAACTCGGAGAGCCACGAGCATGAAAGCAAAGGGGTCTTCTATTCTAATTCTTCTTTTGTGTGTGTGAGGAAGATTGGCCCTGAGCTAACATCTGCCAATCCTCCTCTTTTTGCTAAGGAAGACTGGCCCTGGGCTAACATCTGTGCCCATCTTCCTCCACTTTATATGGGACGCTGCCACAGCATGGCTAGACAAGCGGCATGTCGGTGCGTGCCCAGGATCCAAACCGGCGAACCCCGGGCCGCCGCAGCGGAGCGCACGCACTTAACCGCTTGCACCACCGGGCCGGCCCCTTCTGTTCTAATTCTTAATGCAAGCATACAGTTGGGGATCAAGGCAATTCAGCAAAAAAGGAAGACATCCTAAGTACCAAATACAATTAAGAGAAACGAGTAAGATAATAACTGTAGGCTGAACTTCAATTGACTTACTTAATGGAATATTGTCTGCACTTAGTCCACCAAAGAGGAAAAGCTTATCATCAGCTATTGGCGTTAAAGTATGCCATGACCGGTGTTTGGGATTTTCTCCATTAACGGGAATCCTGTGTCAAGGGGAAAAAATATAGGGACTGTGTTAGCTAAAATAAAAGGTTTTTGATCATCTCAGATCTTAAAGGAAAAAACTGGTCTCACTACTTTAAAAAAAAAGTTGATTTTAGGGGCTGGCCCTGTGGCCTAGTGGTTAAGTTTGATGCGCTCCACTTCAGCAGCCCGGGTTTGGTTCCCGGGCGCAGACCTACACCACTCGTTAAGCCATGCTGTGGCAGCAACCCACATGCGAAGTGAAGGAAAACTGGCACAGATGTTAGCTCAGGAACAATTGTCCTCAAACAAAAAGAGGAAGATTGGCAACAGATGTTAGTACAGGGCGAATCTTCCTCAAAAAAAAAAAAAGTTGATTTTACTAATCCCACCTACATGAATATTTTAATTTTTTTTTAATTTTTATTTATTTATTTATTTTTCCCCCAAAGCCCCAGTAGATAGTTGTATGTCATAGCTGCACATCCTTCTAGTTGCTGTATGTGGGACATGGCCTCAGCATAGCCGGAGAAGCGGTGCGTCGGTGCGTGCCCAGGATCCGAACCCGGGCCGCCAGCAGCGGAGCGCGCGCACTTAACCGCTAAGCCATGGGGCCGGCCCATACATGAATATTTTAAAAACATTCTTAAATTCTTAGATGAATTTAAACAATCTTTCCACTTAGCATCTATGCCACCTGGTCACAGAACACAGGCTGAAAATTAAAAAATCAAGTCCCAGTTGATTCACAATGCACACTCAGCATCATTCTTGTTCGTTAATCAATATAACTTCTTCGTTTTTTTAACCTAATTTTTTCATGTCTGTAACTTTTTACTGTTGTTTCAATGTTTAATTTTGTGTTTTCAGCTGATTTCTTCAAGGACATTTTGGGCTTTTGTTCTTATTGTTTTTACTTTGGTCTATTTGTCGTAGAATTTCCCAAAGCATTATCTTCGCCTGAAAATGCTTGCTTCTCTAACTTCAAAATAAAAGCATGCAAGCCATTGCAGATGCAAGATAAACCCCTAATTTCAGGCAAATACTGTCATATTCTTAAAAAAATAAAAACAGAAATAAAAACATAAGCACAAGTTAGAAGCACAAATGTTTAACTATTTAGGAGGTGAGAAGACACCATTCTCCAGCATTCTGGAATGCTCCAGAATAACATGAGCCATTTGTAGAAGATGTAATTTATTTTTTCCAAACTGGAAATATTTTTATTGTTTTTGTTGACTATAAGAAACATTTTGAGAAAAAAGAAAGGAAACATTTTGGTTACAAAACATTCAACAACCACAAAAATATTTTTTTAAAAAGGAGAGCTCGCCTATAATCCTGTCCTCCAGCATAAGAAATAATACTAGTTTGGTATATATCTTTCTAGACTTTAATGCACATATAAACATATTTATTAAAATATATACATGATATCATATACTCTATTCCATAACTTTTTTTCACTCAACTAGTATGTTGTAGAATACTTCCATGAAGTATAGTCTCCTTTGGTAACGGAAGCATGGCAGCCCTTTGGGCAAATGTACCACAATTTAAACAATCCCCACTTGTGGACATGAGGGTTGATATCAAGTTTTTGCTTTTATAAATAATGTTGCAATAAACATCTTTGTATGTGCATACATACATAAATATGTGCAAACATATATACACTGGTTTAAAATATGAAACTCCATTTTATATTTTAAACATATTGTCAAAATACCTTCCAGAAAAATTGTACCAATTTATACTCCTACTAACTGTGTTGTTGCAACCTAACACACACTGCTCATTTAAAATTATTTTTATCTATAAGTGAAAACTATAATTTTTATTTCCATTTCTTTTTTTTTTTTTTTGATGAGGAAGATTTTTGCTTGAGGAAGATTGTCCCTGAGCTAACATCTATGCCAATCTTCCTCTACTTTGTATGTGGGATGCCACCACAGCATGGCTTGATGAGTGATGTGTAGGTTCACGCCTGGAATCCAAACCTGAGAACCCCAGGGCGCCAAAGCGGAGTTCGTGAACTTAACCACTACACCACTGGGCTGGCCCCTCCATTTCTTTAATAATCTATGAAGTTGAACATCTTTTAAAAATAATTTTTGCCTATTTGCATTTCTTCTCTGAATTGCTCCTTCATGTTCTTCGTCCACTTTCCTAGTGGATTACTTCTCTTTTTCTTTTTCTTTTGTTTTTTTGGTGAGGAAGATTGTCACTGAGCTAACATCTGTTGCCAATCTTCCTCTTTTTGCTTGAGGAAGACTGCCCCTGAGCTAACATCTATGCCCATCTTCCTCTATTTTGTATCTGGGATGCCTCCACAGCATGGCTTGATGAGCTATGAGTAGGTCTGAGCCTGGGATCCAAACCGGTGAACCCCAGACTGCCGAAGTGGAGTGCTTGAACTTAACCACTACGCCACCGGGCGGGCCCTATTTCTCTTTTTCTTACTGATTTTCTTAGTTCTTGTGGATCTTAGCCCTCTCTGTTAGAAATACTGTAAATATTACTTCTAGGGTATTTTTGTTTGCATTTTCCAGTTTGCTTTAACTTTTTTTGTGGTATATTTTTCCAAACAGAAATATTCAATTCTTAAGTGGTCTTATCAATCAATCCTTTCATTTATGAATTTTGGGTTTATATCATCTTTAGAAAAGCTTTCTCCATGCCAAGATTTTCAAGATAATCTGCTATATTTTCTTCTTGGCACTTGCATGGTTTTATTCTTAATAGTATTTATACTTTGGAATAATATATAGCTCTGGTTTCATCTCATTATATGAGCAGCTGAACTGATAGCTAAATATACTTATTTTATTGCTAAATCTATATTATAAGCCATGAACAAAATCTGACTTTTACTCACTCCGTTATCTGTTCACTGTGATGACCCCATTAAACTATTTCTTCATTTATTCTACTGAGCAGTCATTGAGAATACATAACATAAAACCAGTACTTTGACATAATCAATTTTCAACAGCTAGTATTCTCATGTTTTATATAGTTTGGTTAAAGAACAACCTCTATATTTAAATCTGTATATTCCTTGCTTGGACATATAATCTGAAGGGAAAATTACCAGTTCAGTTTTAGAAACCTAAACTTGGATTATGGCATGCACACAAACACACACACAGAGAAATGTCGATAGATTAAAACATACTTAAATTTCAAACTTACCTTCCAGACCAAGTCCAGGTATCTAAGTTTAGATAGTGCAAATCATTCATCCTAGTTTGCTAAAATAAAAGTGTGTTAAATGGGTCAGTGTTTTACATCTTTCATGGGCTAAAATTTTGGTTTTAAAATAAGTTCAGATTAAAAATAGATTCTATTTTACTTAACATCAGAAGTTTACAAATTGGGAAACAATGCTAAGCATTAATAAAATTAACATAGAGCTACCAAATTAATATGTCAAGGGGGAAAGGAAGAAATGAGTTTAAACTAATAGGATTTAGATAATAAGAAATTACATTTTTCTGATACTACACTGAAGTGAAGGATTCTCCTCATTAAAATATGATTTATAATCATGTGTGATTACTCACGTATAGTCTGTTTGGGGAATAGAAGATAAATAAAAGATATTATTGAATGCTATTTTAATCTCTAGATTATTTGAATGTTCAGTTGTTCCACAAAATCAGAGGATAAATTTTTATAAGAAGCATCACACATAAAAAGACCATTTCCATCAGAAACACTAACCAAAACACGTCCACCAAAGACATAGCCCTTATTTCCAAGAACTGCACACGTGTGGGCGGCTCGTGGCTGTGGGGGTACTCCACCCTGCAAGCAGACAGCAGAGAACAGCACAGGGACTTGAAATATCTGGAATGAGGTCACGTTCCAACGCTCAGCGTGAGAAATACTTGACCGCTAAGGTACCATCACCTATGTAGCTCAGTTAAAAACCCTAACGCAAAAGGTCATTCTAAATAGTAATAACTATAGACAAATACTACTCTTCAAGAATGAAATTTTTTTACCCTGATCTTTACTTTTTAAAGTGTTTTTCTTAAATGCCTGACACTATTCAGCAAAATAAGATTTCATACAAATTTTAGCTTAAAATATAAGGATTTACACATCAAGTTTAAAAAGATTCTCTCCCTCCCTCCTCCCCGCCCCCCCCACCACACGAGTGAGCAGTACACAGTGTGATGATCTCAGAGACTAAAAAAATCAAATCTGTGCCCAAAACTCCTAGTGCTTCAAATTCCACAATAAGAACTTCATTTTTGGCTTAAGCTAAACAGTGCTTTATCTCTTACTAAAACTCTGCTCATTAACTGATAACTTCTTTATATTTTGAATAAATATAGCAGATCTTGTCTTCAGAGAAGTTTTGGATTGGTGGGAAAGGAGAGTATAATGGGTAGATGAATGAATAAGATTTGAAGGAAGAATTTTCTGCATCATTTCCATGTGTTCACGGTGGGTGCCTTTGTTTATGTATTTCATTCCACCTTCTGAAAGAACTCAGCATTTTCAGCTCATTGACTGCTGAACGTGGGCATAGGAAATTTAAGTTCCACATCCAGTATCATAATTTCCTAGACTTTTCAGGCTTACCTGAGTGACAGTGCTGAAGTCAACACGGTAAGAAATAATTCAGATATTACCTATGTAACACTTAAATAAATGAGAGAGAAACATTTGAGTTGTGGTTCCCAGTCCTTCCAGCAAAACAAAATTTGTATTATTACCCCATCCCTGATTTGAAATTTGAGAAAAATTCTTCTACTATACACACATTTATTATGAAATAAATACTGAATTTCTCCTTTCTTATTTATCAAATACATTTAATAGCCAACCAAAGCTGCTGAATAAACCGAGTTTATACAATTCCAAGCAAAAACAAAGAAATGACATTTGCATTAGTCTGCGTGCTTAACTGCGCAAATAATGCACAAGGATTATTAGGTATGAAAATAACTCCAAGATCCATATTCCTACATATTGCTCTTATGGGGTAAAAATCCCACAGAGGAAAACACTGTCGACCCTTCAGTTGTACAGATGACACGGTACACGGCTCATAAAGAACACAGCTCTCTTCTGACACAATTAGAATGCAAATCCATTTCTTTCCACTTCAATGCCAAAAATTGTTACACTCTACCATGTTGCCTTGCCTTTTGATGGAGATATTTGGGAATAATGAAGTAATTGAAGAATGTCTCTAAAAAATAAACATTTTAAATAAAAATTTTAAAGTAACATTTATTTATTTTAAATAAAAATAACAGATTCCAGCTACAACCATGTCAGAAAAACTTTCAGATGGAACACCAACAACATAAGATTTTATTTGAAGACATCCTCAGGGAAATTACAGTGAAAACATTGTGAAGTAGTAACCAAAATAGCATCATCAGCAGATGTCATGTACTTCTGTTGGAGCAGAGGAGGGGAGGGATAGCGATTAAAGTAAGGAGAGAGAGGAGTCAGAGAAAGACCAGAAGCCCAAAGAACTGATGATAAGCTCCCTCAGCTCCCTTACGTGCAGGAGCATACTCTAAAAATATGCCTGCGGTGGCTCCAGAGCCTGGCTCACTCTCTAAGGATGTCGAGGGTTAAGAGGCCTGAAAGAGATCTAGGATGAGTTTCAGCAGATCCAGTCTCAATACTATTTCTCTCCACATGCTTGCTAACATGAAATTATTTTAACAGAGATAAAATGCTTTTATGTCATTAATAAAAGACACAAATTTTAAAATTTAAATGCTGACTGAAGGAAAATTCAATCAACAAGTATAAAAGACTGAGAGTTGATCAGTTCTAAAATTAGAAATGGGGTGAAGAGAACAGGAGAGCATGGAAACCTGAAATTCACTGCTTGCACAAAGAGGACGCTGAGCAGGTCAGACTGTAACACTGACTGTTTTGCATCAAGCCTCCCATCACTCCCACCAAGAGAAGCTGGACTGCAAGGAGTGTGTGTACTTTGCCTGTTCTGCATCCTATTCTGCATGGTGCTGGTGAGCTTATCCATCATAAGTCCCTGCTCCCCTGGACAGGCCTGAGACTAGGGCCTGACCAGTCATCCCCTTGGCAGCAGGAAGTGATGTAAAGAGTGGGAACGTGCCCAAGTGGAGCCAGAGTCCTTTTCTACAACTGATCTGTAGACACTGAGAGAATACAGCACCAAGAGAAAGAACTGCTTGTGTAGCCAGGGCCATATTCCCTCCTCAACGAGCCGGCCGGTCTCCAGCAGACAGAAGGAGGCTGGCTCACAAGGAGAGCCAGAAAGTACCATGATGGTGCTGAGGACCCTGCCCCAGGTCCTGAGGCCCTGGGCCCCTGCAGCTCTGGCTTCCACTGTGTGAGCCACTCCAAATACACTTTCCAGCTACGAGAAAATTCATTATTGCTTAAACTAATTTGAATTTGTGTTTGCTCACTAGCACATGACAAATGTTAATAATGTATTTTTGTCATGCTATAATTGCATTTAGCTCTAATTTCAAGGGTTTATGAAATCATGGGCTTTGTTATGAAAGGACTTTTTTAAAGAGCCTTCATTAAGTCAGAGCATCACATTTGTGAAAAGAATGATGATGGCACCTCTGTAGAAGATTTTTCTAGAAATCTTAGCTAACTTGGAGAAAAATATGTATTAAAAAAAGAATTAAATGATTTAAAAAATAATAAAAAAATAATATTAGTGACAGTACTCAAGAGAACTCCTTTGTATGTGATTACAAACTCAATTATTAAAATCCAAATAATTTAGTAAAAAAATAGATTTTATTTTTTTAAATTTTTTTTGGTGAGGAAGATCGGCCCTGTGCTAACATCTGCCAATCCTCCTCTTTTTTTGCTGAGGAAGACTGGCTCTGGGCTAACATCCGTGAGCATCTTCCTCCACTTTACATGGGATGCCGCCACAGCATGGCTTGCCAAGTGGTGTGTCAGTGCGTGCCCAGGATCCGAACCGGCAAACCACGGGCCGCCACAGTGGAGCGCACGCACTTAACCACTTGCACCACCAGGCCGGCCCCAAAAAGTAGATTTTATTTTTTTATTTTATTTTTTTTTTTAGATTTTATTTATTTATTTTTTCCCCCCAAATCCCCAGTAGGTAGTTGTATGTCATAGCTGCACATTCTTCTAGTTGCTGTATGTGGGACGCGGCCTCAGCGTGGCCGGAGAAGCGGTGTGTCAGTGCGCGCCCGGGATCCGAACCCGGGCCGCCAGCAGCAGAGCGCACGCACTTAACCACTAAGCCACGGGGCCGGCCCCAAAAAGTAGATTTTAAAAGTATCAATGAATAATATGAATATAAAGGTAACTTTTCACAATACTTACTTTAATTTCTGGTTGAAACCAACTCTGTGTCTTTGTGTCAAATACATGAACATCATTGTGCCATCCCCAGAACATCTGCTCTTCCTACGACAGAAGTTTTTAAAATATTTAAAAGCTTTTATAATTTTTAGATTATGGTTATAGTTTCATTGCATATTTACTGGTGAAATAAGAGACACCTTTACAGAAGCAGAGTTAAGTGTGACCATAGTCATACAGCTAACGCATGCAGCAGTGGGTCACAGAGTGCGGTCCCCAGACCAAGTGCAGCAGCACCTGGCAACGTTTCTTCTCACAGCACTGCTTGCAGTGAGTCATACGTTTACCTGCTGACAATCTTCCAGTTCTCTCAAAGGACTGTCTCTTTTAAAATTGCAGAGGACAGAATGATATTTACATTTTGAAATCTGTTTTCCTAAAGTATAAGCTCAGAATTCCTAATTTTTGCTATTAGAAAATTTAGGGGACCATAGTTCCTTTTTCCAAAAGTTCCAATCACTTCTACTTAACCAAGCAATTTGTTCTTGTATGCTCACTCTCATCTAAGAGACAAACTGTTGGCAAGGCAAAGAGTCAGCAGTTTTACTGTACTCAGCATCTTCCAGAATGCTGAAATTCTCTGTCACTGCTCTAGCTTACCTCTGTGCCAGTTTTATGTTCTATGTCAAAAATACATCATTAATTTTTGTCAGGACTTGTCAAACAAGTCAAATAAACTAAACAATTTACTTAGTATAGAATCTAAACAAAAAAGTCTACTTGTATACCAGAAACTTCAGGACATGATCATTACCCTAACTGTACTAAGGGAGGGAAAAAATGAGAGATTTTGCTAATGAGTAAAAATAATTAGATATAAGTAATTGGGAAGTTATATTTCTGAAAATTATCAGTACTACTGTTAAGTAGAAAAGCTTTAAAGTTATTTCATTTAAAAACTCAAAAACCATGAAGATACATGGAGAATTTTTTAAAGATTCACATACAAAGAGATATGCACAAAATGTACAGATACATTAATAACTTACAATAATAATATACATTGGCAGAAGGCATAACTGAAGAGTTACTGTGTACCTTGGTGGTGGGATCAATGGTTTTTAACATTTTCTTTTAAAAGATTTCATTTTTATAAGTCATGACTTCTTTCTTTAATAACAGTTTATTCTCTTACCAGTAATAGTAAGTAGGAAAGGTAATATCACTACCAACTTCCTCACTCTTACAGAGGCCAGTCTGAGCTATGAATAGTTCTGGTGGACAGACCTAAAGGAAGGCGTATGCCAGCAAACGGCCATTGTGGTTACCTATGAACAAAGTATTTCCAAGTTGTGCTCAAGCCTCTCTTTGTCTAACAGAAGCAGGTATAAGTGATTAACCACGTAAGAAGAGAAACTGCTCTGCCAGCAGCCATGAAGTCTAATATCATCAGGCAAAAGAACCTCTTCCAACCAAATTCAAATCCAAAGACAGAAAACGTATTTTTTTCATAGTGTCAATTATGGCAAATTACAATGAGAAAGAGTGGGCTCATTATTTCTAAAGACTTTAAGGAAATACTAAATTAGAGGAACATGTAAACAGTGAAGACTCTCTTACCCAAGATGCATCATGAACATCAAAACAGTCCTGGAGTTCACTGTGTCTCCTACACCCATAGCCACCAAAATATATTAATCTGAAAAATAAACACAAAAGAACATACCTTAGGAGTTCCACTTCCAATCTGTCCAGAGAAAGTTGAAAGAGAGAGTTTCTCTCATCCTAACAACCTGAACAAGCCAAATAAACTATAAAACCATCGTTTAAAAAGAAATCAAAGGGCCAGCCCCGTGGCTTAGCGGTTAAGTGTGCGCACTCCGACACTGGTGGCCCAGGTTCGGATCCCGGGCGCGCACCAACGCACCGCTTCTCCGGCCATGCTGAGGCCGCATCCCACATACAGCGACTAGAAGGATGTGCAGCTATGACATACAACTATCCACTGGGGCTTCAGGGAAAAAAAAGGAGGAGGATTGGCAATAGATGTTAGCTCAGAGCCGGTCTTCCTCAGCAAAAAGAGGAGGACTAGCATGGATGTTAGCTCAGGGCTGATCTTCCTCACAAAAAAAAAAAAATCAAAGAGCTAAAGGGACGAAGAGACCTTACTGGACTAACTCCAGAAAGTGACGAGCTCCAAGTAGCAGAGACGAGACTACAACTGCTTTCATCCGTGGTGTGGACAGCAGGAAGAGGAGGAGGGATCCAGCACAGACAGGGTTTGTAACAGAAACCACCCCAAATTTTAACAGCCATATGTAGGCTGACATGGCAAATTAGAATCTTAAGAAACTCAGCCATGGGGCCGTCCCGGTGGCATAGTGGTTAAGTTCGGTCACTCTGCTCGGCGGCCCGGGGTTCACAGGTTCAGATCCTGGCACGGACCTGCACACCGCTCATCAAGCCATGCTGTGGCAGGTGTCCCACATACAAAATAGAGGAAGATGGGCTAGTCTTCCTCACAAAAAAAAGAGAGAGAAACTCAGCCACAGAGGGAGTTTGAACCCTCTCAACAACTCTTTCATACAGTCTTCAGGGAGGGCTCAGGGTCAGTTACCAACAGCAGGAAGCAGAGGGGAGCTGAGCAAACCTCCTGCAGACAATCTGAGGTGATTATCTCAAATCAATAATATAACTGTATACCTTAAGGACCAGAAAGAGAAGAGCAAACTAAACCCATAGATAACCAAAGGAAAGCAATAAAAATTAAAGGAGAAATAACCAAAATAGTGAATAGAAAAACAACAAAACCAAAAGCTGGTTCTTTGAAAAGATCAACAAAATTGACAAATCCTTAGCTAGATTGACTAAGAAAAAAGGAGAAAAGCCTGAAATTACTAAAATCAGAAATGACAGAAGGGGGCTGGCCCCGTGGCATAGCGATTAAGTGCACACACTCCACTGCTGGCGGCCCGGCTTCGGATCCCGGGCGCACACCAATGCACCGCTTGCCAAGCCATGCTGTGGCGGCGTCCCATATAAAGTGGAGGAAGAGGGGCACGGATGTTAGCCCAGGGCCAGTCTTCCTCAGCAAAAAAAGAGGAGGATTCGCATGGATGTTAGCTCAGGGCTGATCTTCCTCACAAAAAAAAAAAAAAAAAGAAATGACAGAAGGGACATTACTTCCAACATTACAAAAATAAAAAGGATTATAAGAGAATACTAGGAAAAACCGTATGCCAACAGACTGGATAAATTAGATGAAATAGAAAAATTCCCAGAAAGACACACTACCAAAAATGGCTCACGAAGAAATAGAAAATCTGAATAAACTTATAACAAGTAAAGAGATTGAATCAGTAATCAAAAACCTCCCAACAAAGAAAACCCCAGGACCACATGGCTTCAGGGTGAATTCTACGAAACATTTAAAGAAGAATTAATACCAATTCTTCTCAAATTCTTCCAAAACTGAAGAGGAGGGAACACTTCCTAACTCATTCTATGAGCCAGCTAGACAAAGACACTACAACAAAAGAAAACTACATATATCTGATAAGGGTTTAATGTCTAGAATATATAAAGAATTCCTACAACTCAACAACAAAAAGACAAATAACCAAACTTTTTAAATGGGCAAAAGACTTGAATAGACATTTCTCCAAAGAAGATATACAAATGGACAATAAGTACATGAAAAAATGGTCAATCTCATACAACACTGGGGAAATACATATCAATACCACAGTAAGTACCGCTTCATACCCATTAGGATGACTATTATTTTAAAAACTAAAAAAAAAACAAAACAGAAAATAGCAAGTGTTGGGAAGGATGCGGAGAAACTGGAACACTTGCACATTGCCAGTGGGAATATAAAATGGCATAGTCACTGTGGAAAACGGTTTGGTGCTTCCAGAAAAGTTAAACATAGAATTCATATGACCCAGCAATTCTACTCTTAGGTATATACCCAAAAGAATTGAAAACAGGGACTCAAACAATACTTGTAAGCCAATGTTCATAGCAGCATTATTCACAATAGCCAAAAGGTGGAAACAACCCAAATGTTCATCAACAGATGAATGAACAAACATACAGCGGAATATTATTCAGCCTTAAAAAGAATGAAGTTCTGATACATACCGCAACATGGATGAACCTCGAAAACACTTTGTTAAGTGAAATAAGCCAGACACCAAAGAACAAATATTGTATGATTCCACTTATACGAAATACCTATAGTAGGCAAATCCATGCTGACAGAAAGTAGATGGGAAGATACCAAGGGTTGAGGAGGAGGGGGAAGGGGGAGGTATTACTTAATGGATATATAGTTTCTGTTTGGAGCGACAGAAAAGATTTGGAACTAGATAAAGGTGATGGTTGCACGACATTGTGAACATAAATAATGGCACTGAACTGTACACTTAAATACGGCTAAAATGGCAAATTTTGTATTATATATATTTACCACACTTTTTTTAAAAAGGTATAGTAAAATAAGTCTCCCTCTTACTGTCACTCAATTCCCCTCCCTAGGGCAACCCCTATTTTCAGTCCCTTGTTTACACAAACAAGAAAAACTTCAAGGATCAAAAACACTTTGTAGGGTTGGGGTAGATTAAGTCCTGGAAAAACAAAAGGAGAAAGCTCTAGTGGCTTACAGGAACATACTTCATTGTCCCTAAGTATTCAGAGAAATACTCCCTTTATGCAAGCCTACCCAAAGCTCAGAGGTATAGTTCAGTTCTCTTTTAAGCTCCTATAATGCTTTTTCCAAACAGACATGATAAAACAGATAAGGCCTAACCAAGAAACAAATTGACAAAGTTATCAATTACTCTCCCTAAAAAATTCTGTGTATATCTGCAAATAGAATTCAAAGTATGTTGAAATACTTGTTAGAACCAAGTATGATTTATATCTGAAACACATTTGAAAATATAAAATATATCACATCAGTATTTAAATTAGGAAAAAAATTTTGATCACCTCAAAATAGAGGAAAAGTATTAAATAAAAATCAATATTCATTGCTCATAAACATCCATGTTCAAAAAGGTAGGAATAGAAAAACATGGTCCTCCTCATATACATACATAGAAATTACATATACGTTAAGGTGGTATTTCAAAAAACTTGGAAAAAACTTAACAATTTAATAAATAATGATAGAACAATAATTAAGCTGGAGGAAATATACAGTTAAAGTTACCTGACAGTATACACAAATATGTTTCAAATGAAGTAAAAATATCTAATGTAAAAAAATCAAAATTTGAATTTTTGACTTTGGAAGAATGTAAAATACTATATGATTACAAAAACAAAATTAAAATTAAAAAAACAAATCCTAAAAATAAAAAGTAAAATAAACAAATGACTCTATGTATCAAGTGGGCAGCATAATTTCCCAGAGGAGAACTTTGAAAGGCGACTACAGAACACACTACATACGACTGTACATCTCTGACAGTACAGAACCTAAAAATAAAGGAACTGTGGCAAATATTAAAACTGTTTTAAGTTATCATATTTTGGGTGGTATTACTGGTATTGTTGTGTGAATTACAGGATAAAGCAAATGAGTCATTACGTTGGTGACGCCAAGAACTGGGGCTTTCAACACAGGAGAAGGACATGCGAGTGTAGGGTCATTGAGGCAGAGCTCAAAGCTCAGAGGTTCTGAGTGTGGAATGGAAGATCTGCATGAAGGCAAGTTGTGTTTTATCCTTAAAATTTTGTATTTCATATCTCTAGCTGCTGAAAAAGTATAGAAATAATAACTCACCCAAAAGCAATAGCACGTCTGGCACTGCACTGAGACTGAAGTTTCTAAATACCACTTGCCCCTAAGCAAAATCAGAACTCCTTGGAGAAATGGCTGATCCCTGGTCTAGGATAGGAAATACCCGAGATGAGCCTGGAACATCTTGTCACTCTAAATGAATAGAGGAATACCGTGTTCATGGACTTGAAGACTCACACGGACTTGAAGTCAGTTCTCCCCAACTTGAACTCTAGATTCAATGCAATTCCAATTAACATTCCAGTAGGCTTTTTGGAAATTAACAAGCTAATTCAAAATTTATACAGAAATGCAAAGGCCTAGAAGAGCCAAGACATATTTGTAGGAGAAGAACAAATAGAATAAGTCTACTGGCTCTCAAGACTTGTTATAAAAGTAAACACATTAAGACAATATGGTACTGTGCAAGGACAGAAAAATTGTTCAACAGAATAGAGAAGAGACTTCAGAAACAGACCCATCCATATATGGACACTTAATTTATGGAAAAAGCAGCATTGCAGAGCAATGGAGAAAGTATGATCTTTTCGATCACTGCTGCTGGATCAAGCTGTTATCCAAATGAAACCTGACCCCTACCTCAAACCACACACAAATCAATTCCAGGTGGCTTGTGGATCTGAACGTGAAAGGTAAAATAATAAAGCTTTTAAAAGTAACTCAGAGGAATGTCTTCATGACCTTTGGGAATGAAAAGTTTCTAGGACACAAAAGCACTAACCATAAGGAAAAGACTGGTAAATTAGACTATACTAAAATTAAAATCTTCGGTTGATCAGATTACACCATTAAAAGAATGCAAAGAAAGATGTCCAACAGAAATGTTTATCCATTATGTGTGACAATATATAAACTAATGTTCACAGTTGTATTATTCCAAAGAGTCAAAAGCAGAAATGACCCAAATGTCTATCAACAGTAGAACAAATAAATATATTATAGTATTTCATTTAATAGAATAACATACAGGAAAGAAAACACACTATAGATTCACACAATATGGATGACTCTAAAAAATATAATTTGAGTAAAAGAAGCCAAACATAACAGAATAAATTCTATAGGATTCCATATATATATATAAAAGAAGAACTAATTTAGGGAAGTCAGGATAAAGGTTTCCTTTAGGAAGGAGGCTGAGCATAGTGATGAGGAGTGGACATAATGAGGTTTTCTAGAGTGTTGATAATGTTTTATTTCTTTACTTGGGTGGTGGTTACATAAGTGTGTTCACTCTGTGATAATTATTTAAGTTGTACGCTTATGATTCGTGCTAGTCCTATAAGAATGTTCTGCAAAACTTCAGTATCTGAAATAGTGAAGTATTTGTACATGAACAGAAAAAAGATCAATGGAGTAGAATAGAAAACCCAGAAACAGATCCAAATACAAATGAAAATGTAGTAAATACATGGAAAAGTGGCATCTCAAATGACTGACTTAAAGACAGGTAGCCATCTAGAAAAAGACGAACCTGGATCCGTATCTCATACTATTTGCAGGATAAGTCCCAAATGAATCAATGATTTAAATATAAAAAATGAAATGCCAAACATACTAGAGCAAAATATGAGAAAATTAGTTTATAATCTTGGAGTAGAAAAAGACTTTGTAATCAAGACTCAAAATCAAGAAGTCACAAAAGAAATAATTGATAAATTTTTCTAAAACAGTTTCTTAAAGCTGTTTTATATGTGCAGAAAACACTCCAAGCAAAGTCAAAAGATAAATGACAAACTGGGAAAAATATTTTCATATCATATCACAGTCAAACATGAATCTCCTTAATACATAAATAACTCCTTGAAATCAAGAGTATAAACGCCAATCAAACAGAAAATAATTAGCAAAGGACGTGAACAAACAGTTCAGAAAAAAAGAAATACAAATTGCCCTTAAACATAGGAAAATACATTCAAACTCACATAAATTTCTTAAAAATGAAAACAGAAATTAAAATAAGACTGAGACATCATTTCCCACCCAACAGTTTGGCAAAAAAAATCTAAGTTTGCCAGCAAACTCTTGGCAAGGCTGTGGAGAAATAATCACTCCATTGCTGAGAATGTGAAATGGCACAACTTCTGTGGAGGAAAAGTTGGCAAAACCTATTGTTATGGGTTGAATTGTGTCCCCTCCCAAATTCATATGTGGAAGTCCTAATCCCCAGTACCTCAGAATGTGACCTTATTTGGAGACAAGGTCTTTACAAAGGCAATCAAGTTAAAATGAGGTCACTACAGTAGGCCAATCCCATGTGACTGGTGTCCTTATAAAAAGGGGAAATCTGGAGACAGACAAGCACACACAGGAAGAGTGCTAGGGAAAGATGAAGGCAGAGATTGAGGTGATGCTTCAAGATGCCAAGGAAGGCCAAAGATTGCCAGCCAATCCCCAGAAGCTAGGGGAGTGGCACGGAATGGATTCATCCTCAAGACCCAGAGAAGGAAGCAATCCTGCTGACACCTTGATCCCAGACTTCTAGCCTCCAGGACTGTGAGACAGAACGTTTGCGTTGTTTAAGCCACTCAGTTTACGGTACTTTGTTACAGCAGCCCTAGCAAACTAAACAATTACCAAAATTATAAATGCATTACCCTCTGATCCAGCAATCTAATTCTGGAATTTTATCCAACAGATAGATCTGCAATCATATATATACAAAGATATTCATTAAAGCATAGTTGGTAATAGCAAAGGAATTGAAACAATCTAAGTGTTGTTTCATCTGCAGGGGAAAGGCTAAATAAACCACGGTGTATCCACAGAGGAGAACAGTATGAGCTGTGAAAAAGCAAGAACAAACTTTGTAACTAACTAGGGATACAGTAAGATGAGAGATCTCCCTGGGATACTGTTCACTGAGAGAAGCGGCAGGGTGCTGAACACGGTAGAGTATGCTGATATTTGCACAAGCAGGAGGGTGAAAAGAGGACCACACCCCTAATACCTGTGTGCGCGCATGCGCGCGCACACGTATCTGCTTCTATTCGCGTAAAGTAACACTGATGGCAGTAGTTCCCAAACTTGTCTGCATCTTGGGATCATCTGGGGAGCTTCAAAACCTCATTCCCCTGAGACTGTAAGGAGTCTGGGCTGTCACCTGGCTTTGGACTGTCTAAAGGATCCCCAGGGGACTCCAGTGGCAGACCAGTTGGGAACCGCCGCTGTGAGAACACAGATGTCAAAGCAGCAGCCATGTGTGCAGGGGTGGGACAGGAAGGGGAGCCAGACCTTTCCTTCATACTTTTTACTACAGTTTTGATTTTTGAACCATGTGAAGGTATTAAATTCCCCCCCCCCCAAAGCCCCAGTAGATAGTTGTATGTCATAGCTGCACATCCTTCTAGTTGCTGTATGTGGGACCCGGCCTCAGCACGGCCAGAGAAGCAGTGCGTCAGTGGGCACCCGGGATCCGAACCTGGGCTGCCAGTAGCGGAGCGCACGCACGTAACAGCTAAGCAACGGGCCGGCCCTGAAGGTATTAACTAATCAGAAAATTTCATTAGATAAATTAATTTTAAAAACCAGATCGTTGCTTCCAAAATGTTTATTTTTATGACATGCCTTTTATCCAGATTCAGAACTGCCATTACCATCAGTGTAAAACAGGTTTGTAATTGTATCTTGACAAAATTCAGACTTTCAAGTTTTCTCTATTTTGGCCACAAGCTATAATCCTTACTAAGTGCAGTTTCTGAGACAATTTTCCTGCATTACCTGTCTTTGTATACCCAGCAAGAAAGCTTATCACGTGGCGTGGGTGGTTGTCCTTCAAAGTCGGTGATTTTTTTCCAAATGTAGGTTCCATCTCTTGTTCGCAAATTAACAAAATAAAGCTTTTAAAAGAGGAGAACACCATTAGCAGACAGGGCACTTGAAAATTAAGTTTATATCTGAGAGATATATGATCCAAAAATTAATATTACTTTTTTCTTTTTAAAAATTTTAACTGTGGACTTAATGAAAATAAGACTATGTTTTAGAAGCAAAAATGATATATAAAACATACTGAAATGGGTCTTTTCCCATCATGCTCTTGCCCTGTGGTTGTTAACTAAGTATGTAGTTAATTAAGGATGTAGTTGATTCTGAAGCAGAAGGACAGGGAAGAAGAGCAGAGCAGGACTGCCGCCGCGTGTAAAACCGTACAATCGTAAACACAAGACTTGCTACATGTATCTTCTTTTTAGAATATTTATAAACTGATGAGATGAAGTGATACATTAAATATTACATATTGCTGCACTCCTGAATTGAAAGAAAATATTACTCGATTGCTGTATCCTTTGTCATCATATCCTCCAAAAATGTACAGCTTTCCATGAATGCAAGCTCCACAACTTCCTGACATGGAGGTGGGGAGTTCTCCTTCCATGAGGTGCATTGTCCTGCAGCAAGAATAACATGGAATTCCATCACTTTCCAGAAAGGCAAATTAAAATTCCCTTTGAACTCCACGGTTACTTTTTCAAAGAAAATTGTCACTGGCAGTTACAATTAAAATGTAATGGTAGCCAACACTGTAAAAGCTCTAAGAAGATCCACCGGAAAGATTTTTCAACCTACTGGGAAAAAAAATTATAAAATCTTCACGTGTCACCAGAATTTGGAACGAATTAATAGAACAAAGCAAAGTCTTCAGAGACAGCCTTAATCTTGAGAGGAATGGTAAAGGACAGAGTAGGGAGAGGAAGGGAGCAGGGGAAAGAAAGAGCCAGAGAGAATAAAGCACTGAAGGAAAGGAAGTAAGACAGGAAACGCTGCAGTGTGTTCTCAGCATGGTCTGAAGTTCCCTGTAGTCTAGGAAAACATTTACAACAGACATTAAGATTGGACATTCTGCAATTTACTTACCACAACCCACTATCAATATCATAGGTCCAAATTTCATCATTAGGCAAATATACTTCATTGTCTTCAATAGACTAAAAACACAGAATACATAAAATTATGTTTATCCATTAGTAACATTTAAATAGTTCCTCAGGATGGGAAAACTGCAATTAAAACACTGCAAAACACAAAATCATAAACAGGCTTATAGATGGTTTTTTCAATATAAAGATAGAGCAAAAGAGAAGGGAAACAAAGACATTTTCTAAGAGAGAGTGGGCAAACAATAAAGGTTTAGAATACAAAATAGCAAGTACACAGTCTCAAGAAAAAGACTCAGGGCAATGAAACCTTAAATGGGTATTTTGAGTAAGCGAAGATAGCAAAATAATAACAGTCAGAGCAGAATATTGAAGACTATAAAGCCAGGAAGAAAAGGAATATCAAAAAAGGGCAGTGTGTTTTGGGTGAAGGGAAGGAATTAAGGAAGGACATTTTTTTCCTCTTTTTTTGCTTGAGGAAGATTAGCCCTGAGTTAACATCCATGCCCACCTTCCTCTATTTTGCTACCACAGCATGGCTGTTGAGTGGTGTAGGTCCACGCCCAGGATCCAAATCCGCAAACCCAGGCCAACGAAGCAGAGCGTGCTGAACTTAACCACTACGCCACAGGCTGGCCCCAACGAAGGACATTTTTATAAGGTGTAATTAGAAGACTGTATCAGAGACCTTGATTCACGGAACATACTTTTGACTACCTACTATGTGTAAGGCATAGTGTTAGGGGTGTATTAAATACAGAAGCTAAGGATCAAGATAAATTTAACTAATCAAAATGACAACTCAGAATCTGAATAATCTCTAAAGCAGATAACATAAATAGAACAGTACATTCTGACATTTATGATGAAAAGAGAAATAAGAATAGAATAATAATCTTATTTATATTAAGTTAAAAAACTTAGGGGTTCAAACAAATCCTCATATAAATCCGTCATAATTTCTTAGAACATATGAAATAATTCACAAATAGCTAGTTTTAAAAAATAGCAGTTCAAGGATTTCTAAAACAGTATGATGCACAAATCATTAACATGTTAAGTAGATTTAGCTAATTTTCTCATTGCTATGTTAAACTTTAAAAATAGTACCTTGACTACCAGGTATCTGTCTCTCTCTCTCTGTCTCTCTCTCTCACACACACACACACAGCAGAAAAGCACTGTATTAATTCTGAGGAATCTTCCACTTGTGTTTGACTGAGACAGCTCAGTCAAGAATCACTGTAAGAAGGGGGTTAACTGTATGATTCTAAGGTTTAACGGCGTCAGGCTCCAGCAGCCTCGTGTGTGCACCTTTACAGCAGAAATATCATGGAAACGGATCTGTCACGATTCTGCCTACCTCCCTTCAGCGCTTCTCTGTGCTCTCGGGAGACTCTCCAATGCTTCTGAGGCGCCTGACATCCCCTCGCTCACGCTCTAGTCTTCTTGCAGTCCCTAAACCTCGGCACAGTCCTTGCTGCCACAGGGCCTTCGTCCACGCTCTTCTCTCCCCTGGCATGCTCTCCCAGAGTGTACCTGGCCCACTACTCACTCTTTGGGAATCAGTTTAAATGCTGCTTCTCTGATCTCCCAGAAAGAGGTTAAGGGATTAAGGTCCCTATTAAATGCCCTCATACAATCCCGTACTTCTCTTTGAAGTCCTTTGTCTGTACCGCACCCACCCACCACCACCACTAACCTATAAACTTCAGGAGTGCTTGTTTATCTTGTTGTAATTCTGTTCCCAGAGCCCAGCACAGTGCCTCACACATAAAAGGCAAATGGAATGTTTGTTGATTGAGTGACTGAATGGGTAAGTGAATAATACCTGTTAAACTGACGGTGTGCTCACCTCAGCCTGATTTAAAAACAAATCCCTTTCACTAATCTTTAAAAGGGGCAAAAACACAAACGAAGCACAGAACTGAAAAACCTGGACCCAGTTCCTTCTCACTTTCTCAGAGATTCCACTCCTAAGTTATCCCTCTTTTTCTACATCATCAAGTTTTCCTTCTTTACTAGATCATTCCTATTGATATATCCAAACATACCTTAATATCACTCATTGTTTTTTAAAAAAACAACACTCCATTGACTCCTTTTCCTATTTCTCTGCTCCCTTGATAACAAAACTCCCATCCTGAGCTAACCATAGTGAGGTCTGCACTGCTTCACCTCTCATGCTCTCGTCAGTCCAGATTAGTCCGTCTTCTGCGCCCATCATTCCACTAAAACTGCTCTTGTCAAGGTTACCCTTAAAAGAGAGTTAGTTAACTGATGTATTCAGAAATATGGCTCAGAGAGGTGGAATATATATATAACAAAGTTAAGAGACATGGAGAAACAGAGAAAAGAACTAAGTCTAGTCAGAATTACATCAGGACATAACATTGTTACATACTAGGAGAATGAGAAGAGGCACTATTTGAGGAGACAAAGACTAAGAGTCTTGCAAAACTGTTGAAAGTCATCAATCCCTGAGATCTAGGAAGTCCTAACAAGCTCCAAGCAGAATAAGTAAATAGAAATCCATACCTGGAGACATCATAGTAAAACTACAGAACATCAAAGAAAAAGATATATTCTTAAAATCTGCCAGAGAAAAGACAAATCACCTTCAAATGAATGGCAACTAGTGACTGAATTCTCATTAGCAACAACACAAGACTAAGTAATATTAACCGATGTGTTTAATAAAGTAACTGTCAACCTAGAATTCTATACTCAGTGAAAATATCTTTTAAGAATCCAGGTGAAATAAAGGAATTTCCAGACAAACAAAAAATAAGACAGTTGGCTAGTAATAGACCATCCTTTAAAGAAATTACAATAGCTGTGCTACTTCAGGCAAAAGAAAAGTGATCTGAAATGCAACAAGGAATATGACAAGATATTGGTAAATGTGTGGGTAAATTTAAACATTTAAAAAAGGCTAAACTTTTTTTGTTGCCTAATTTGAGGGGGAAACAGCAAAGAACTAGGGAAATGGGTATCAGACTTAAAACTTTCTAAAATTCTTTAACTCGATGGGAAGAAGGAAAATTATTAACCTTGAACTTTGTGAAGTATTCGCATTGAAATAAAGAGAGTAGCTACAAGATGGCTAGAAATAAATTATACACTTCTACACAAGCAAAGAGAAAAAAATGGAAAGAGAACAAAAAACTCCACAAACAATCCTCAAATGGGAAAGTTAAGAAGGAGGAGGAAGAGAAGTAGAGTGGGGCACATATAAAGCACATCTGATGAAAAAAGTATATCAGAATTATATTAAGTGAAAATAGACTAAACTCTCCAGATAAAATACACATAACACCAGACTGCATAAAAATAAGATCCAGTTATTTTCAGGTTATAAGACACACATCTAAAATATAAAGATATACAAAGTTTCTATTACAAGGTAGAAAGATATGCCATGCAAATATCAACCAAAAGAAAGCTGGTGTAGCTGTATTAATATTAGCAAAATAGATTTTAAGGCAAATAACATTACTACAGATAAAGAGGATCATTACTAAATAACAAAATATTCGATTAACCAGAAAGATATAACAATTCTAAATTCATATACACCCAAAAAGGTAGCCTAAAAACGCATATAAAGTAAAAACTGACAGGACCATAGGGAAAAACTAGCAAATCTACAGTCAGAGTAGGAGTTTTTGATACCTGTTACAGTAACTGATAGAACAAGACATAAAATAATCAATAAGGATATAGGAGATTTGAACAGCACAATTAGCAAGGTTAACAAAATGGACATATATAAAACACTTCACTCAATAACTAGAACATGTATTCTTTATAAGAGCAAATGGTATATTTATGAAAATTGATCACATGCTAGTCTTTAAAGCACACTTCAACATTCCCAAGCACTGCTATCAGATATAGACCGCGTTCTCCAAGTTCAACACAATTAAGTTAGAAATTAATAACAGAAAACTCACTATAAAAATACTGTATGTTTAGAAATGTAAAATATTTTCCTAAACAACTTATAGGTAAGAAATAACAATGGAAAGTATAAAATATTAGAACTGCAAAATGACAAAATATTGCTTATCAAATAGTCAGGAATATAGCTAAAGAGGTACATAGAAGAAAATTTATAGCCTTACATACTTACATTAAAGAATTAAAAAGTCTCAAAAAGAATGAGTGGAACACCCAACTTCAGAAGTTCAAGAAATAACAGCATAATAAACCCCTAGAAAGTAGGATAAAATAAAAAAGAGCAGATATTGATGAAATTTTAAAAAACAACAACAGAGAGGATTAAGAAAACCAAAATCTGGTGTTTCAGGAGGTTGATAAACCTCTGGGAAGATTATTCAAGGTGGGGGGGCCTGGGGAGAAAGGAAGGACTGTTAAGCAATTGTAGGAATGGAAAAGGGGACATAGCTGTGGGTACTACAGAGATTAAATCAAGGGTGTTACAAACAACTTAAATTCATGCCAATAAATTTTAAAACCTAAATGAAATGGATAGAGTCCTGGAGGTGGAAGTGGGGGTGAGGGAACCTTATCAAGCCTGATTCAAGAAAAAATGGGAAATGTGAACAATCCTATAGCTTTAAATAGCTTGAATAAGAGATTTAAAACCTCCCCACAAAGTATGTACCAGGCCTAAGTAACTTTATAGATGAGTTCTTTCAGACATACAAAGAACAGATAATTCAATCTCACAAAACTATCCCAGAATATAAAAGGAACACTACTCAATCCACTTATGAACATAGATGTAAAAATCCTAAAAAATAAGTGCGAACAGGATCCAGTAATGTATAAAAAAGTCATCCATTACACTAACTTGTGTTTAATCCAAGGAACATAACATTGGTTTACTATTACAAAACAATTCGTATAAATCCACACATTAAGGGATTAAAGGAGAAAAAACATGATTATCTCAGTGCGATGCAGAAAAATCCACTCTCCAAAATTTAACATCCATTCACTGAAAATTGGATAGAAGGAAACTTCCTTAATTTGAAAAAACAAACAAAATGCTAAAGCAAACATCCAAGTTAATGGTTAATAGT